TCCATTCTAGCACACCTGGTAGACTCTGACCATCGTGTGGATGCCAAAGAGGACTTTCGAGTGATCTACAAGGTGCCTTAAAGCTATTCAAAACTCCTTGGACAGCGCCTGTTGGCTACGGCAGAGGTGGCCGCCATCAGGCAACGCCGATCGGTCCTGTGTGTCCAAAATAATTTCGTCGCGGCGCCGCAGTTACTATAGGCGAATTTAGCTAACACGACCGCACACGTCGGATCACTGGCTCGTAAACGGGTTCCCCAGAGACGAAAAGTCCCAAATTCAACCACACACACTTTATCCCTGTCTTGGACGTCAGTCCGTCTAGACACTGACATTCTGACCGCAATTTCCCTAACCCTCCCTACCCCATCCCCCCACCGACCCTGAAAACAGAAAGACTACATCTGTCTACCAACCACCATATTTTATGTATTTCATTACCAATAAATGTAAAGGCCTGACGAGAATTTATCGAAAACAAACGCATGTTTACCAGTTTATGTTCTGAAATACATACATTTAGAATTTATTAAATCCACCTACCCATTTAACATAAAATATAGTTATTTGTTTTGAAAAAGATTTAAAACATTCACGATTTTCTACGTTAATTTCAAGGTCCCTTCCATTGAATCAGTTATTAGCTGATTCCTTTAGAAATAGGCCGTTTTTAATAAAAATAGCAAAAACTGCGATATTAAGTTATTGCTATCCATTCGAAAACGAATGTACATAGCCTACGATATTTATTTTTGGATTCTGGTCTCAATGGTCTTGCTTTTTGGAAATCAGCACGTAGCTGCGCACATCATTGTTATTTCATACGAAGGCCACTTGGGCATTAAAGGTCATTTTTATGCGCTTCTTGCTTATGCGAAATTTCCGAAAACATACCCGTATTTTTATCATAGACAGACGGATCCAGTTAAAATTGTGAATACTATCAAATTACAGCAAGCCTCCGAACGCAAGAAAACATGCGGCGGAGCTGCCAAAAGAAGGTCCTTTAAACTGTCAGCTATCACTTCTACTGAAAACGCAGCGTATACAAAATAAGCCGTCAGCTGGGTTGACAGAAACACAAGTACAGAGAACATGATTTAAACTACCTTATCCTTGTTGTGGCAATGACGTAGGTAGCGAAGAAGATGCCTTATGCAGAGCAAACCCAACACCGTTGTGCTTTCCGATCAGCTTCAGGAATTCCTGAGCCAACTATCAGAAGCTTTGTCAAAAACCTCAAACATATACTCAAGTAGACAACATATATTATGTATAGGTAAGTGCAGGTATATGTTGAGCAGTAAGAAAAACGTATACAGGAAGGGTGGTAGAAGACGACGCGATAACTATCAGCATCTTTAAATACAGCGACGGCCACCTCGTTCAGGTATTCGGATATAAAAAAGGTCATGCGTTCATCCCGGCAATCGTATACGCAATATAAACAAAGTTTGAGTAAGTGTTGATCAGCTAACTCAACAAACATATGCAATTATTTTCAGAGGAATAATATGAAGTCGGCAAACAGCACAAAGTTGACTGCAATAAAAGTGTTAGAAAATGCGGCCCACACTCTTTCTCGAATTTGCGGTTCTCTGGGTGGCATTTGATAGGGCTGTTGAACGTTTGATGCCAAGGGTGGTCACGTGCATATTAAGACAACTGTATGATGAAATTATGTCTCCAGCCGAGTGTTGTCTTCGCATTTAAAATATAATTTTGTAGGCAAAAAAGCAGGGGAATCGAGTACGATAGGTACGACAGAAGTCTGTTAAAAATCAATAAAATAAAACAAAAACAAATTAATTAAGAGTGAAAAAATCTAATTGATTCACCACCGTTAGGCCTTCTTTATTTAAGTAGCGGTGGATATGCCATGTACCTGTTCACAAGAAGGAGGATAAGACAAGATGTGAGAACTACCGTGGTGCAAATATTGCTCTTTTCAGGTGGTTCCCGTTTGTACGTGGCTCCAGAACGTAGGCCAACCAAGCCGCATTCCACATTGGACGGGGATTTTTGCACCAGATATATACGATAACGCACATTCAAGAATGTCGCCATCGGTACCAACAGCCGATGGCCGTCCACCTTGTCGCCTTCGTAGCCGCGTTCGATTCCATCCATCATGAGTCCTGGGGATAACAATGGAACTAGACAGAACGCCGACTAAAATTATTGCCCTGAGTAAGGCCTACAGTACGTGCGCCAACCCAATAGTGTTGCTGGTATTGCGCTGTTAGCCTCAACCTGTGGTAGTCTGCAATTTGTACTCTCGCGGGTGAATGAGGTCCCTATGCCGGTTACCATGCTCATAAATTCCCGAAGGACGAAGTTAAGAAGTTATCCTCGAGCTGCATCCTTGACAAGGAGAACGCAGCCCTAAAGACAAATGGCTCTTAACTTGAAGAAGCAGACGGCCTTATATAGATACGGCAGAGGCTGATACTGAAAGGGAAGAGCAAATACGCCAGTTCCAGAAAGCATGTCAATAGAAGAAGATGCGACCGTTGGAACAAAAGTTTTATTTTCCTGACGGTTCGGATTCTGTCGGGAATACTAAATCATAGGTAATCGGAGAAAGGTTTGGGAAATGCGCAGTTAAGGCTGATATATGCATAGATTGCACCGAAATTATATTTTGTAGCGGTCATTCGCTTGTGTGCTATAATTATCATTTCCTGTAACCACCGATTTATCTCTTAAATGGTGCGGCGATGGCTCATCAATTGCCACGATTTCCATGTCCACGTTGGATGCGGGCATGATAATTGCGCGTCAATTATGCCCACTGTCTTCAGATTTAGTGCTGTGCCCGGCCTTCCCACCTGACTGATTCTCCTGCTCAGGTCATGACTCAGTGTACTGCATGGAAAAACAAAATCATCGCGCTTGTTAATGGACTAGGGGCCTGGGAACCATGACTCGAACAGCTCGCGGTTTACGCGATTGTCGCCTCTTGCGAGGATTTAGGCTTCGTTAAAGTCAAAAGTATGGCCGGGTCAAATTGGAGTTCATGAGCGAGAATGGTACAGAACTGCTCCAGCAGAGGGTTGCCCAACGCGCCCTCGGCCGCAAAGCGAAGCTAGAGACAACACTTGAAATTAAGTTTCGCAAGCTTCCTAGTCCAAATTCCTCCAAAGATGCAAACTGGTGCACAACCTGTCATTCAAAGAGCTGACTGAAGAACAAATGCGGGTGTTGAGGCATGAAGCCTCATTCAGCACAGCTGATGCCAGACTTGCTAACATGGGTGCTGCAGTAAAATCAATTCTCAGCCACAACGAAAACCCTTATCCGGCAGCAGATTTTGTCCCTCCTCCTGGCACATTAACAATGCGATGCTCTCTCCATGCAAGCGAAAATGCGAGTTTCAGGAATTAATTGATGGGATGACGACCCGATCGTCATCAGAGACCTAGTCAGGTAGCAGAAGCACCTACGGGTAGCGCATGCACATGACTTTGCAGTATTTATAGGATGCAGTCATTACTGCAAACACAAAACAACAATTAACGGTTATTGCCTTCTTGCCTGTTGATAGTTTGTTGAACAGCATGCGGGCTCTGACCTGAGGCCCTTTCGTCACGCGTGGTGGACGGAGGCGTGATGATTGCTCTCTCCATGATCGAACGTAAGCCACCAAACAACTCAGAGCCGGCAATGACCTCGTTATCGTGCCGGCGGACAAGGGGCGGTCCACTGTCGTATTG